TCATCCATCCCATCTGAATCACGACTGATGTCATCACTCATGTAATATTTGTAGCAAGTCTGTAAAGAAAGAGAGAGGACAAAGAATTCTTTATTAAATCTCAACTGGGCTTCAGCAGTTCATTAGATTTCAGCATGCGTTAGAAGCAAGCCAGCAAAAGCAGCAGCTGCAAGGTCCTCAGTATTTTAAGTCTTTTACATTTGTTTTAATCTAAAAAACATCTTCCATGGTCCCAAACCGTGATTTATTTAGATGGCTCAAGGTTTGTTTGAAAATTTAACAGGCTTTTGTTAATGGATGTATATTTGTGGATTTTAGAACATCAGTTGAATACTTCTCTCCAGTCTGAATGTTTCTTCCATCTATTTTCTAGGTAAATCAGCACCACATCCTCCTCGACACAATTAATCCCACATAAATTACAATTTTCAGCTGGATGCTCCTTATGTTACCATGTGATGCCATAAGGCTTTAGATTAAAAAGTCTTCAGCATTTATCATGATGTTAACATCCAATAATTCCATTTCCAGGTGCAAACAAAGCATCTTCACTTGAAAATCTGGTAATGGTAATAAAAAAATACCAATGACTCAGCTAGGAGAACTGATAGCTTCAGCTGCTGAATTGGTGACACCAAATTTTGAAGGTTTGGTGTCATTTTTTTCCCAGTTATTACTGAAGAATGCAGCTCTACTTGAAACAGGCATTGATACAATTCAGAATGCAGAAGAGGCCTCATCACCTGAACTGACAATGATGATGCCCCATTATCTGGAACAGACTTGCACATCTGTTCAGCTAAACTATCCAAACAACCAAAATCAACATAAAACCCCAGTAAAATCTGGTGTGATAGAACATTCACAGTGAAAGGAAAACATTTTCTCAGGTCTGGGACTTTTATCTAAGTAGGAGAAAAATAAGGGCAGAATTAGGCACAGAAATAATGGAAAAGTTGGAGATGAGGGGCTTCCATTCCTCCCTCTCACATTCACATAAGGCCATGCTCAATTCAGTAAAACCAGAGTAAATCAAGGGGAACAACCCCTGATGTAATTCAGGTAGCACAGCTCTCAATCAAGAGCTGCTGTTGATCAGGTTATAAAAATGACCCAGGTCCCACTGCAGNTCCTTGGGCCTAGCTGTGGTAGGATAACAAACAGTGAAAGAGGCATGAGAAAAGAGAGATGGAACCCCTAAGGAATGAGGAAGAGTTGATGGTATAGTTTAACCAATAGATTGCTTGGCTTACAGAATATTCATAAGCTTATTACTTGCTGTATAAGTGTCTGATGCTCTCTTCAATAAACGGAATTTGCTTATCACTCATATTGAGTGTCTGAGTCTCCCCTCACCGACAAATGGCTGCGACCCCTGACAAAGGCCCACATTTCTCTGTGACAAAACTGTACTAAAAGAATAAAGGATTTCATCAGAAGGCTTGCAAGGAATAGAAAGGAATGATAACAAAAGCACGTGACTCAGTCTGAGCCAGCTGACTGTGATTGGCCATTAATTAGAAACAACCAACATGGACCAATCAAAGATGCACCTGTTGCATTCCACAGCAGCAGATAATCATTGTTTTTATTTTCCTTTGAGGCTTCTCAGCTTCTCAGGAGAAAAATCCTGGCAAAGGGATTTTTCAGAAAATATCATGGCAACAAATCTTGGTTTTTTTCAGTTTTGCTCATACTACCTGCAACTTGTTCCTAATTACATACTGCAAATTTGGGATTTTACACCAAAACATAAGAGACTAAATACTTTACTCAGGAATCAGAAATAAGTTCCCTTAGAAGTTATTTGCTGTGTCAGAAGCTCCATGAGTGAGTTTGTGCAAACTGAAAGGAAGGCACAGCAAACACAGCACAGAACTGCATCCCAAGCCCTTGGGTTGCCCTGCTGCCAGGAGGGAAGCTCTGGAGAAACACCAACCCTTCCTATTTTTGCTTTCACACTCTGAGTGTGTGTGAAGAGTTGTATTTTGAGAATTCTACATGCCATCCTTACTGCAAATATCCAAACTCAGCTGCACTACAGGGCACTGTCCCATGTACAAAGGACATGGAGACCAACAGTGTGGGACACGTGACAGAGGAGGAACAGCACAGTGGGAATCCTGCCCTGGAGCTCCTCTGCACTCTCCTGGCTGGACTGAGAAATCTGCAGTGTTTCTAGCACATTCCAGGCCTCTCCCCTTGCTTTTCTCTCTTTTTCATCTTGCACACAAGTCAGACAAATCTGCTAGGTAGTGAAATCAAGGGAAAGAAACCTCACAGTCCTAATGAGCTGAGATCCCCATATTCATAATTTCTGTTTATTTTCTACCTGTGGGGACTGGAGGACTGGACTACAACCAGGCTGTAAGGGGCACACTCCAAGGTGATCACAGAAAGTGCCTCATGTAGATAAATAAAAGTATCCTGTTGGTTAAACCAGAGCCTAAGTCTCATTCAATGATCAATCTGCAATACACAGCTTATTCAGACACAGAGCAGGCTCCTTTATGTTACTAATTCACCTATTAAACCAAAAGCAAACTGCAAAGGCCCCATTCTCCTCTGAAAACACACTAATATAGGCATAATTTCACAGAATCAAATGATAACTAAAGCTGAGATATCTGGATATGCTCTACTTCAACTCCATCCTCAAAGCAAAGATCACTCCAAAGTCAGGTCAGTCACTTGAGGGACTGGGCCAGTCAAGTTTTGAGCATTTCCAAGGACAAAGATTCTGAACTTCAAGAGGGCAACCAGTTCCAAGCTTTGACCCTGCTCAGTGTAAGAATACTCCAGTATCTCTATCAGTTTGCCTTGCTAAATGCTGTATCCTCAATACATCCTTTGGGCACACATCCAGCTCAGCCCCCCTAAAACTGCCCATGAGGTGATTTGCAGACAGAAATTCAGACACCCCATTTTTAGCATTCTGTCTGCAGTCTAAACCAAGCCTCTTCTCTCTCAGTCTAACTCTCCTGTCAATGATGCCACACCACAATCCTGTTCAGTTTGTACCCTGCTATCCATCTCTCCAATAATGACCCAATTTTCCCATTGTGACCTGCAAATGAAACAGCTCCCAGTGCCTCAGACACCTTCTGATAAATTAAAACCACCTTTCTCCTCTTGGGCCATTTCAATGCCAAGTCCATGAACTGTACATGAACAACTCTGTTTTTAAGGCATTTTTCACTGATGGTGAAAACTGTGGTGCTGAAAACTGAGTGCCAGAAATTACCTGTCTGTAGGAGAGTTTTAATGGCTGTGGCAGTGACCACATGCAAAAATAGAATTAGTTACTATGCAAACCATGAATTATCTGCAATCTCCCCCAGCTGTGACATCACTGGGGAAAACATTGATAAGGCAGCACTCATGGAAAAGCCCTACAAGTTCCAATATTATCTGCACAGAGACACAACATACAAAAACAACAGCAGATTTTTAAGTAGCTGGTCTAAGCCTACATGGCTCTTGTGAGGCATAAAAATCATTTTTAAATGTATGATTTTTAAATGTATGTTACAATGCCACAGGTCTCCAGCATCACCTCCAGTGCACAGACAGGAGGTGATAAATGTGAGTTCACATTATCTACTCCTTCCAACCAGCTCCTGCTACACAATCCCTGGGCAGGTGAGGCAAGGGCCAGGCTTTGGAAAGCTGTACCTCTTGTAAATACTGCCTGCAGCTTCCAAAGCACCTCCATTTACAGTGACATCATCTTTTTCCTCAAGGCACAAGCTGCACAAAGTGAAATTGTGCAATCTCACAGGATAGCTTGGCTGGAAGGGAACTTTACAACAGGTGCTTCCAAATCCTTATCAGAAAATCCTCCAGGCTGCAAACACTTCAATGCATCATTACCAACTGAGGAGGGTTTTTTTGCTGCTAGATGATTAAATGTCACCCAAATGAACAACTCTGGCACACCTGATGACTGACAGAATCCCCCATCAGCAGACAGCATCAAGCTTTCAGTCACGGGCCTGATTTTCTGCTCGTCGCTGCTTCCGTCGCCCGTGGAATTCTGATCGTCGTTTTCCTCCTTGTCAGACGGGGAAGAGGAAGTGACAACCGCCTTCTTTTTGGCCACTTTCTTCTTTAAGTTGCTCTTTTTATTTTCTTTTACTGATCCTCTTTTAACTTTTTTCTTAGTGTCTTCATAAGACTCCTCATCAGAAGAGGATGAGTCATCCTGTTCTTTCTTGGAAATCTTCTTTTTGTGGCTTATTTTCCTCTTTTCTTTCGTGTCAGTTCGTTTTTTACGCCGCACGGCATCATCATCAGAGCTCTCCTCTTTTTGGGGAGATTTCTCAGTATCAGAGGATAAATCAATGTGTACTCTTTTAGCTACTCTCTCTCTCAATTTTCTCTTTTCTGTAAACACAGGTTCCTTTTTAATTTTGTCGTTTTCAGAAGAATTGCTACTTCCTCTCTCTGCAGATGACTTATCAAGATCAGAAGAGGAATCATCTTGATCTTTCTTGAAACCCTTCTTTTTTAATTTTTCAGATTTCTTTGCTTTGCTTTCTGATCCTTTTTTGTTCTTCAGTCTGTCTTTTGAAGACTCCAACTTGTGCTCTTTCTTTGCCGATTTCTCAGTACTCTCAGAAGAAGAATCATCCTGTGCCTTTTTCTTTTTCAAATCCTTCTTTTTCTTAACTTCAGGACCCTCCTCTTTTTCCAGTGAAGACTTCTCAGCATCAGATGACTCATCACGTTTTCCCTTTGCAGATTTCTCTTTGGAGTCTCTGCTTAGCTTGTCCTTAGCAGCTGACCTCTTACCCGTCTTTTTATCTTTAGAAGAGTGATTTATTTCCTTCTCTGCAGAAGACTTCTCACCATCATCATCTTCTTCAGAAGATTTACCTCTCTTCTTCTTCAGATTTAACTTCCTCTTACTGCTTACTTTTTTCCCCTGCTCTTCTTCAGAGGAATCATAACTATCATCTTTCCTTGAGAATTTTTTCGATTTCTTTGCAGCCTCAATTTTACTCAACATTTGTATCTCTTTTTCCAACTCAGAATCATAATTTGAAGAATCAGAGTAGTTTTGTCGTTTCTTTTTTGCAGCAGCAGCATTTTTAGCTGATTTGCCTCTTTTAGCATCTAAATCTGAACCGGAACTGGAACTCTTCCTTTTTCTTTTCCCATTTTCATCCTTTACTGGTTGACTCTTGTGTAAATCTGAAGTTTTCTGATTCTTTGCTGGCGCTTCGCTGTTGCTCTCACTGTCTGAGGAGCTGCGACTCATCATCCCTGCTTCTTTAAGGACAGCTGGCACCTCATCAGAGTCTGAGCTGTGATCTAACTCATATGGCTTTTTGCATTTGGAAAGTTTGTTAGGGCCGGGACCATCAGCAGCGCTGTCGGAAGCGTTTCTTTTATCGCTTTTCCTCCTGGGTTGCTTGGATGCTTTTCTCTTGGGTTTCTCATTGCTGGTGTCGTTGCTGTCCTCTTCTGAGTTGGATGTCAGGGGGCTGATGTCCGTGGGGCGCCTCAGGGGGGTGGTTTTGACACGGGGAGACCTCCGGAGATCCGAGTCCTCCGCGGGCACGGCGTCGTTCTCCGGGGAGGGCTCGCTGCCAGCGCTGTGGTTTTGTTTCCCACTCTCAGAGTTTGCTGCCCCAGGTTGAGATTCATCAATGTCTTTAGATGCATCAGCATCTTTAGATGCATCAGCATCTTTACTGTCCTTTTCTAGGCTGTTGTCTTGATCATCAGATTTAACTGTGGACTCTGAAAGGGAAACAGGAGTCAATTTTACAATCAGTTCTTTTGTTCCTTTAGCTGAGGATTTTAGCTTGGTACCACCTTTGGTATCTTTCACAGGAGCGTTGGCTTTTGTATTTGAATTTGGAGCCTCGTGATCTGCTGCTGTGTTTGCACTGTCCTGCTCATCTGAGGGCATCTGAATCTCCATTGCAGATTCCAGAGTCTCAAAAATATCTTCAGGAACGGAAGAGGGGATGGACACGATATCCATGTCCAAAGCCTCTGTACTGTTGGGCTCATACTGTGGTTCTTCATTTCTGCCAGACTTTTTCTCTTCCCCAGGGGCTGCCTTGTTATCTGTCTGCTCCACTGAGGGAACACTTTGATCCATGGGCTCATTGTCAGGCCGCTCTGACACGACTTTCTTCTGTGTCTGGGCAGCATCATCCTCTTTTAATGCTGCATGTTCCTTTCCTTCATCTTTTTTCACCTCATTTTTTTCTGATCTAACCTCAGGTTTTTTCTCTTTGGTATTTTTATCTTTGATTTTAACATTCAATGCTTGAATCTCTAAGTTCAGGCCTTCTTCTAGTGACAGATGAGCTTTTTTCATGTCATTCAGCACAGATTTAAAAGCTTTCAGCTGGCACAGTTGCACAGTTGGGCTTATTTCTACATTTTCTGCAGCATTTTTCAAAAAGCTTACAAAGCTAGAATTCAGATTTGTTGTAGTTTCAATCAGTTTTTTTGTTTTCTTAAGCAAGTCTTTTGGCACCATTAGTGCTTTATAAGAATATGTTAGTGAACCTGAATATGAATTATCTAATTTTTTTTCTTCCCCATTACAATTTGCATTATTTTTCTTTGGAGAAAACTTGACTGTGTGGTCATATGTTTTATTTTTTTCATTTTCAACTTTCATCTTTTTTTTGTTTTGTTGAAGTAACTGTTCTAAATTTTCAAAGACACTGTCACATGCAGTGACCAAGTCCAACAAAGGCTCTGGATGGCAAATATAGCAGTGCCACTGGTTGTTTTCATCCAGGATAGTCGAGAGCTCCTTTCGGCCCAGGTTGCGCAAAATGCACTTTTTACAGAAGGCGTTATGGCAAAAGTCACAGCAAATCAAATTTCCACCTTCAGCACACCACCTGCAATGAGATTGAGAAAGGTAAGAGTTTTGTCTCCACACCAACAAGGTGATGTATTATTAAGTTCACATGTTTAAAAATTCAGGTGATGAATAGATATTCATTACTGGAAACCGTTACTGAAAAGCTCACTGGAGAACTGCAAAGTCAGAAAATTCATGTTTTAGATTAACAGCTCATAAAGCTGTAATGGTCAGTAATTTTTAAACAGAATTTCAGCACTGATTTCTTTAAAGAAGAAAAAAAATTAGCACTTATTTTCCCTGTTTCTTCTGAAAATCTGTGATTTATTTTACAGCAAAATGAATAAGCTTCAGTCTTTCTAGCCTTAACTCATATATTACTACTGCACTACACAGACTCTGAAAAGTGGTGGGCAATAAGCTCATAGAAACCACAGACTGCACAGGTTTTACTGAATTACACATTCAGATATTTCATTTAAGGACAGAGAAGTTCTTTGATATTTCAAAAGTGGGAGATGCATCTGGAGAACTGAGTTTCTCTGGCTCATAAAGTTTAGAATATCAGATTCTACCCCAACCTTTAAGGTGCTAGGAAGGTAGCATGTTATTTACCTAGAAATGTGATCTTACAAGAGTTTGTTATTAGATTTCTTTAAAAATGTTTTCCTGTTCATTACTAAAACAAACAGTTAAAAAAAATCCTGAGGTTCAGTATTTCTTGTTGACAAATAATTGTTGATGCAGCTCTTGTGGACTTGTCTTTACTTGTCAGTAATGTCACAATAGCCAGAAAAAAGGCCCCCAAATCAGTAGAGCTGTGGGTG